AATGGTATGCATTTCATGTAAATTTACCCGTCTTTATGAAATGTAAATTATCATTGTTATCCATCAAGATTTCTGAAGATATCTGTGAAGTTATGATAATATGCTTATGGTCGCACTTGAAATCCCTGTAGCTCGTTCGACGGCAATATTCAACTTCAGCCTGCTTCGTGTGTCATTTCATACTGATTAGGTCGCAATTATTCTGGTTCCTAACTGAGAATGAACTAAAAATCTCACCTCTTGCTGATTACCATTTATGTAACTATACTTTACAATCGCTGTGATGCGCTGCTTTCGGATAATATTGCCGAAAACGTTATTATCGGTGGACTAACTAGAGTTTTACAAGCCATTTTTATACCTTTGTGAATAGCCTACTATATCTACATGTAACACAGAATTCAACCATAGCGCGCACTTTCAATGAATTTAAACAATAACGACCACCACCAACCACCCCTGATTCTTATATTTCTGTCTTTGCTCCTGAGTTAATGATTGGGTATAGAATGTTCTGCTTCTTATTAACTTTTGGTAGTATATGAGAATTATGACCATTTTCTGTTTATCGATTCCGATCATCTTTCTTATATACATTCCATCAGTTATTTCTGGGATTTGTTCGCGGAATATTGACATCGACTTCAAATACACATGGAAATGTTCTAAGTTATATTACTCACTATTTACCAACAGGTATAAAGTCTGACGTAGCACTAATTAATTTTAATTTTTGATTTTTGATAACAGCTTGATTCCACACCGCATTTTCGGTGCAAGTATTGAATTTTCAGCATATGATATTGGTAGCCCAAATTTTGCAGGCCGACCATTGATATCAGGTGTGCATCGGCAGGATATAGAACCAAGGACCATGTGCATAGTCGGCGAGAGTCCTAACCACTGTGCCACCTACGCACTGATAGTAGAATCCAATGCATGAGAAGCAGTTCAAGTATTAATCCAGGCAGGATGGTGTTTTCAGAGTGTGAGCTGTTCACCAGTGCACAGAATACATGTGAAAGACCTCGAATGAACAAAACTTCAGTACGTGGTATAAACTCTTCAAAAACACTGCAATTGTTGGGGACTAAAATAAACCCGATACAATGAGGTAAAATCTTCCTGAATAATAATAAAATCCAGGATGCGCGTTATGTCGTTTTTGGGACTCGTCATCTGGATGTGCCTGCATAACCCAGCGAGTGATGATGTTTCTACTGAGGCTCGAATCCAGTGACCATAGTTTCAAACGCCAAAGCGTTATCCACTGGACCAATTGGGCCACATGTCACTCACTGGGGAAGGCAGGTACATCCAGATGACGAGTCCCAAATAGGACGAAACGCGTATTATCTTGGATTCCACTGCTAGTCACCATTCACCAATTAAATGTTAAATGAAAGTGGATGGTGAACGTTACAACATGAAGTAAATATGGAGTATGCTGCTTACTAATAATAAGTGGTGTGAAAATATAAGCACAAAAACACGTGAAATGAAGAAAATATGGTGACAAACATAGTTAAAGCAAGGTTGATCAATTCTGCAAGTGAATGTGAGTCTCACTCGTCTTTTTGACTGCTCAGTAATACCTAAATACAAACAGAGCCACATGTATGTAGGGATTATGACTCAGCTTATAGGGAGATTTATTTTGGAGTCAATGGTGAAAACGTCTACCAGTTGGATCTTTTTCATTTTGGGGAATTATTTACCGCTACAAACTGAATAAACAAAACAAAAAAATTGGTAGGGCCAAAATATGATTGTGGATTACCATACTTTAGCATAGAGGGATTAAGACCATGAAAGTTGGAAGGGTTGAAGGAACTTTTTCTGTGTACAGAGATCTGGCTTCTCTATTTTGATGGCCAACGCTTCAGCAATGCACCAGATGAGTTGGGTACGTAGTGATTTGGGCAAATTACTTTCCGCCTTATAGATGACTTCAAAAGTGGAGGCTGTAAAGATAGGGTGATCATTATCGACCAAATGTCCAGTGATTGAGCTTCTGATTGCTCCACTTCCACGTCTTCGTAACCATGCAGGATAGTGTTCTTGAACAAAACTCGAGTCTGATGACCGATATACCTAGCCTCACAAGAGCAGGTGAATTGATAAACACACATAGAGTTAGTCAGCTACGGGATCTTGTCCTTCAGATTATTAAGTAGTAACAATCGACTGGAAAATGGTATTCTCAACGATACGGCAGGGAATGTCTTTTTCAGCAACTGTGAGATCCTTCTTTTAATGATAGCGGAAGCTAAGTCACCTTTGAATTCAAAGCTCATGTTCAATATTTTGTTGGTTACGGATGAGAAGTCACATTTCATAGGATTTGACTGTATGTTCTTGTCTATAAAACGTGGCGGAAATCCATTTTCTATTGGGAATTTTCTTAGAAGATTTAACTCTTCCTCAACAATACCAGGAATACATACATGCCGAAGGAAAGTGGCAAGCGACCGGATTAGGCTTTGTTTTCGACCCATGGGTACCCAGCCTTACAAATTTGTCAGTCAACTATACTACGACAGCTTTCTCTAAATACATCTTTTCAGAGTTCCATCGGTCCTCCTTGATAAGTTCATATCAAGGAAATTAGTACTAGACTAGTTCTCTATTTCGAGTGTGAACGTTATCGCTGGATGCCAACCATTAAAAGCATTTAATATATTGTTCAAATTATAAACACTATACCAAATAATAAGGCTGTCACCTACATACCTTTTATGTATTTGAAAACTATGGAATGTTGACTTCAACTGGCTATAAAGCAGTCTGCAAAGATAAGACCCAATGAAGGATCCTTTTCAATTCCATCCTTCTGCCTGTATATTTTGTTGATTATAGCTTGATTCCACACCGTAGACAAGTATGGAATTTTCAGCATGTGCTATCGGTAGCCTGAATTTTTTAGGCAAACCAATTGATATCAGGTGTGCGTCGGCAGGGGATAGAACCCCGGACCATTTGCATGACCGGTGAGAGTCCTTACCGCTGTGCCAACGACTCATAGATTGTTTGATTGAAAGTTGATTGTACATTCAGTGTACATCTCAAAATTAACCCTTTCAAATCTCTAGTGGGTACCCCTATATTCAACCTGCTGTCTCCGATATATTTGCATATATAGCACATGGTTGCTATCAGTGGAACATTCGTAAATAGGTATTCTACATCCAAAGACAACATATATTTATTCGAAGCATTTGCATCCTGAAAACATTCGACAAATTGGAAAGTGTCAGGAATGGAATGAATAGATACTTGTCCCCTGACGTGTTCGAGGATTTCAGATAACCACCTAGCTATTGCATAGTAGGGGGATCTGGGTATATCCAATATCCAATTTTTCGTTTTGTTGATTCAGTTTGTCTACTTTTCCTCTACTACGTGAATTGTTACTACTATTATTATTATTCTCACTTTGAAATGTCCCCGGTATTATTTCACTCATTCCACGCTTGTCATTCTAAATCAGTTCTGTTTTGCAACGTTAAATTCTATGTTATCAAATTCCACGCAACCTTACGTAACATTTTTATTTTATTCTATTTGCCTATTAATCCTATAATTGCTCACCCCTTCCAAGTTCTATACATCCCCTATGAATTATTCTATATATGACATTAATTGTTTTGCTACTTGACATTGAACTATAATTATAATCACGAATACTTTAATTGCATTTCATACTACTATTACTATTATTTAATGCATTCACACCTACGGTCCATTTCCCTCATCGGATATAATTTCGTACGAACTAAATATAAATGTATACGACTGTTCAACTTGATGATGAATTCGTTGTTGAGAAGAGTTTCTTCGCTGAAGCACTTTTCTTGGCTTTCTAAACGTTCATTGTTGTTTGTTAATATTTATGTTAATTGTGCAAGTAATCGTGCCGAATATTAAATCCTGATTTCTGTCCTCCTTGTGCTGTTCTTCAGTATCACTGGTTTTGGGTCATTGTGGATCACAATTATAAATTCGTATTACAATATGTTTTGTGATGTTTCCCTAGCAGAAGATAGACACTGAGTTTCCAATAGTTCTCTAACTGCTTTCAGCTAATGATGAAATCCCCCAACAACCAAACGAAATCCCTAAAAAAAGCCAATACTTGGAAACTGATCTGATGCTCATTAGTGTCTGGTCCTATTCAGGCAGAAACCTGAGGTTCTAGTGGAAAACCGTGATCAGTAGGGTGCAGCATGTTGAAAGTGAAGCAGTAACTCATCGGAGAAGACATTTTGAAGTGGACTAAGTTGCACTATGTCGTGAACTGGCAGAAGTTGGAATTCATGGACTGGTCGTTGGATCGGGTCCCAATGGCTGAATGAGATACGAGCTAGCTCGCCTTGTAACTAGAAGGTCCTGGGTTTAAACCCTGGTAGTGGGTGCGTACCACTGAAGAGTCCCGAACTGTATATATATATATATATTTACACATATATGTCATCGGCTAAGTTCAGATCCATCAAGTATCGTGCGTGGGTCTATTTTGTGGTTATCTTCTCGCTACTCATTTCAATAATTTAGTAGTATAAAGTGTTATGCATAAATTGCCAACTATCTAATATTCTTTTGCGATTAAAAATTCATTTTGAAATCAATCAGAGGATTAGAAACTCAACATATGCAAAAACATTTATTTATTTATTGATTGATTCATTTGTTTATCAACTTTCAGATCTGTTTTCAAGGTGATACCTTGTTTGTTTACACATTTATTTGTTTGTTTGTCTGTCTGTCTATTTCTTCATTTAGTTTATTTACACTAAAGAAATTGAATGATCAAGGTCAGTTGGCAAATTCAAAATAAAACAGAACAAAACATAAACGGACAATAAAGAATGAGAATTTCACATAAATTATCATTCAGATCATACTTACTTATGAATAAAGTAAAAAAACAAAACACAAAACAGAAAAGAGGAATACACAAAATCTGCCCTCTGCGAATGTCTCAGAGGAAACAGAATCATCTCATAATGAAAATTATACATGAATTGTACTCAGCGTGGAATAATTTGAAATACCATATTCATGTGAGGTGTGAATGAGTAACCAGACAATCACACACTCAAACACACACACACACACCAATTAACGCTCAACAAACACAACTCACACGAATGTATAAATCAAGAAATTACACTCACACGCAAATGAATTAGGGCAAAACATTCTTCTGGATAAAAGGTAAATAAAATAGTCACGCAAAAATTAATAAAAATGCATTTTATTACTATTATTAGTAGTATATTAATAAAAAATAAAATTTTCAGAAGAAACACATATATGTATAGATGTATATACTTTACCAGAAAGTACATAATTCATAAAACAATGAAATAATAATTGTTTTTTAATATTTTGAAAAAAAATAAAAATGGGGAAGAACAAAACTTTAGAGTGTTAAAAACAACAAATAGGAGAAGGAGAAGAAGAAGAAACGAAGCAAAGCTCAAATTAAACAGGTTCAATAATAGCTGTTGCCTTACTTCTATTTTCTTTGTTTAAATTAATCAATATTCAAACATTTGTAATGCTTATGTATATGTATACATACATACATGCACACAAATATATATGCACGTATCGAACATTGAACAGTGAACGTAAATATGGAGGTAGCGTTAATAAATTAAAACAAGCGCTGTCAAGTTTTAAGGCACCGGGAAATTGAAATACACTGTTTGCATTCAGTTGATTGTTGTAACACGAGGGAATGCTCGTAAAATTTTTCTTTCTTTTTTTATTTACAAAAAACAACTGACACAAGAATAAATGCTCAAAATAGTAAATGCTTAAATTGTTTTTGGACAAACCACTGAAATGCCAATATGAAATATCATATTATACATATACATTTGTATATGTATAATATAATCCAAAATAGTGCTCGTTTTCACTGATTTGAATAGTGGGATAATCTATTTTTTTGCATGATTAGTTTATTAAAACAAAACTAAGAATATCAGTATCACAACCTTGACAATGAAATAATCACTTATTCATTGAACCCCTCAAAAAAATCGAATCGAAACTATTCATGATTCTGTGTAACGTGTAGCTCAGCCAATCGAGCTAATGCTATTCGTGTTATAGTTTCATTTGTATCAATCAATTGTTTTGAATCAATATTCGATAGAGTAAGACCAGTAGCTGATCTTCTGCGAGTGAAATTCTGTTTCATTTCAGTATCAGTTGCTTCATCCATAGAAGAAGCTTGTCGCATAGCAAAATTAAACAATCGACTATTTTCGATGGATGCATTATTTGTGGATGTAAATGTGTTAAAGTTTTCGCCTAGGGGATTTGCTTTATTTAAAGATTTAAAGAAATTTCGATTGATATTCATTGCAGCAGAAATATTGTCTGACTCTAAAGAAGTATGATCTGTCGTTGATGGTTTAGATGAGCTTTCAAATACTGTCGGCAACCATCTACTCGCTGGTAACGATGCATATTCAGTGGTGATTTCTTTAGAGAAACAACTCCAGTAAGAAGAATGTAATTGTGCTACTCTTAGTAAAGTTTGTATAGCTGCAGGATGTGGTACACGATCCATTTCTGTTTGTTTCAATGGAAGTAAATCAGGAACACTAATTGGTACAGAATTTTTCTCATTGATTTCTGCAGCTGACTGTAGCAGGGCTCTAACACAAGCTTCTGTACAATCACAAAGACTATTCAAGTCGTAACCACCTTCTAAAGACAGGACAACTTTCGAATTAGCTATTCGATCAACAGATAACAATCGTGTCATCCAACCGAAAGCTGCTGGACTAACAGAATAACCGCCAAGATTAGCTGAATGCCCCGGAGCTGCATCAAATCCAGCTGAGACCAGGACAAGACTTGGTTGAAATTCATAGGCGACAGGTAGGACAATTAAACGAAATGCAGCTAGATATTCAGCATCAGACATCACTATGCCTGATGGCCAAGCAATATTGATTGTAAATCCTTCACCAGGACCAGCACCAATTTCTTCAGGTGATCCAGTACCAGGAAAAAATCCACCTTCGTCATGTCTATGCAATGATATATACAAGACAGTTGGATCAGTATAGAAGACTGTTTGTGTCCCATTTCCATGATGAATATCCCAATCGACAATAAGAATTCTTGGTTTCAATGTTGGTTCTATTGTGTATGGGAGAAAAGCTGACTGATCGAATAGTGTGTTTGTTAATGAAGATATAACTGAGTTTTGTTCATTACTAAGTGTTGTTGACCCAAGGAATTGAACTCTTTTAGTTGCTATTGCTATTGAATTGAAATAACAAAAACCCATAGCTTGACCAGGTTCTGCATGATGTCCTGGTGGTCGTACCAAAGCGAAACCATTTGGACATTGACCTAACATAACACGACAGGCTAAATCCACGACACATCCAGCTGCTAGTCTAGCTGCATGTGCTGTATGCCCAGCTGTATGCCAAGCAGTATCAGAATCGACACCGACACCACCACAAGCTAATCTACACAAACGTACAGTAGCTAAAAGTGTTGGATCAATTCGACATCTACTGGCTGGATTACTTCCAAATAGGACTGTGTAAACATCACGATGGACAAGTTGTAATTCAATTAGGGATGCTCGCCTTCCCGGTTGATGATGACATTGAGCAGCTAAACCAGTTTGCTGAAAATAGAAATTAAAAAAATATGTAAAGAAACGTTATCAAAAATTATATTTTAAAATTCATTTTGTGATTTAAAATTCCTTGGATGAGATAAACCTTGGTGAAAGTAGTTTTACCACCTAAGTTTTGTGCATAAAAATAGTAAGGGATTCCATGATATTAGATAGTTGGAGGCCATCGGCAGGAAGCCTTGGACCTAGGTTTCGTGCTAGTTGCCACTCGTCGGCAAGGCGTATATGCAACCTTGAAGGAACTCATGCCCTTCTGCGATTCGAACACGCGTCACCCAGTGACTACTGCAGTCAGAGACGTTACCACTGAGCTATTCAGGCTGGCTCGCGATTGATCTTCTGTAGGACTGTAATGGGTACTTTGACGGGACACTGGTAACTAACTAGTGTAGAATCAAAATAGCAAAGGATTCTGAAGGAACTTTAAGACAACCATGCCTTCCTTTCAATTTAGCTTAAATAAAAGGACTGATAGTCGATGAGAACTTGATGACTGAGTAATTGCTGTAGTCATTTCTGTCTCAGTATGGAATTTAGCTTCAACTCCAATGTGAAGTCAGTGCTACGTAATATACGGATCAGGGACTTGGCCAACGCGTCACGAAGGGCACTTCGAACAAACTAAATACCTTCATCAACAGCTATATTCGCCCAATACTTCTCTCGAGATCAGATGGCCAGCCAGAAAAGATCAACAATTATGAGGGATCTCTGGCAGTGAGCGAACCAACACAGCAGGAGCCAATTGTGCAAAAAATATTCAGGAAGAAATGGAGGTGGATTAGTTGGCCATACTCTGAAAAACCATCAAGTGAGTGATATCACATGCCATGCTATTGCTCGAGTGGAACCCGAATGGGAAGTGGCGAGTTAGCTGGTCGTTAGTGTGAGGGTGATATGGAGTAGGAGGTGATGTGAAGAGGAGATGAAAGCATGTGGGGAGACATGGAGTCAGGTGAAAACGTTGGCGGAGAACTGAACGCAATGGAGACGTTTGGCCGAAGCCCTATGTTCCTCTGGAAACTAAAGAAAACGATAATAATAATGAAAATTAGCGGTATGTGGCTTCAAGAAAAGCAAATCATGCGCTGATCAAATTGCAAGTATACACATCACCAACAAACAGAATATAGAATGTCAGTTGAATCTCAACCTCAATTTCGAAAGGTCTTCAACAGATAGCGTTGACCGAGAAGTAAGTTGGAAACTACCTCAGCAATATGGCATGCAGTGCCCAATTCTTTATCCAACTCATTCAACAACTGGCTATATGATAATGCCATATGTCAGGTGATCCACAACGGAAAACTCACCAACACCTTTGAAGTGAATACCAGAGTAGGACAAGCTGGCTGCCTGCCTACAACTGCCAATGATGTTCCTAATTGTAGTGGACTGAATTATGCCTCAGATTGTGAGTGGAGAATGAGAAGTCAGGAATACGCTGAACTGGTAATAAGATTCCAGAAGATTCGGAATTCGCGGACGATTTATGTTTAATACCACACAAACTCAAAGACTTGCAGGTGACAACCAACAAAGTGGCTGAAGAAGCAGGAAGGCAGGCAGAGAAGACAGGACTCCAAGTTACTTTAGAGAAAATAGAGGTTTTCGCCTGCAAGCCATCGAGTCTGTGTGAAATTAAACACATGTCATCGGTGAAATCCAGATCATCTAGAGTCCTCTTGTTGGTCAAATCTATTCCTATCTTCCCAATCCCCATGTACAGTCTGACGCATAATCTAGTCCACCACAATTGCGAATGTCATCGGTGATAATAGGCAGGTAGCCTCATCTTACTTCTGTATTCACCTGAAAGGCGTTGGTGGATTTTCCATTGTAGATCACCTGACACGTAACATTGTAATATAGCCAGCCAGCTGTTGAACGAGTTTGACGAAGACTTGGGCACTGCACACCGTAGTGTTGAAGCAGTTTCCAAATTACTTCTTGGTCAACAGTGTCTGTCGAAGGCCTTCTCACAGTCAACGAAGTTGTTGAGGAAGAGAGGTAAACGCCATTCTATGCTTTGTTCAGCGATCACAATGCGTAGAGTTGTAATTTGATCAGCACATGATTCATCTTTCCTGCATCCATCTTATTCCAGTTGGCGTAGCTCATCATCCAGTGAATCTTTTATTCTCTCTAGAATGTCACGAATTAGTAGTTTACTCCGCAAGGACAAGAGCAGAAGCCGGAGTCTCCCTTCTTTGACAGCTTGACAAGGTAGCCAGCCTTTCTTCCAATCGGTAAGCACATTTCTTTCCTTTCAAACCTTTTATAATCATAGTATCTGGATCCATTTTCAATGCTTCGAGGAGAAGGGGAGGGGAGAATTCCGTCTGGTCCTGCCATAATATTGTACTAGTTAGAATTTTTCAGTGATGAACAAACAAGCCACTAATTGAACAGAGAAAGAGAATGAATTAAGTCTAACCAGGTAGGATCAAACTTCGGCGTACCCGGAATATTCATCAACCTTATTCAACAGCTGTACGACAACGACACATGTCAAGTGATCCACAACGGAAACCTCAGCGAGGCGTTTGGAGTAAACACAGAAGTCAGACAAGGGTGCTTATTATCACCAATGATATTCCTCATTGTGGTGGACTGGACTGGATTATGCGTCAGACAGTGGGAAACGAGAAGACAGGGATATCCTGGACCGACGTGAAGAACCTAGAAGACCTGGATTTTGCAGATGGCCTATGTTTGATGTCACACAAAATCGAAGACCTACATGCAAAAACTGACAAACTGGTCGAAGAAGCAGCAAAGACAGGACTGCAGGTGAACATAGACAAGACGGAGGTTATGACAATAACCAACCAACCAACAACAACAACAGCAACATCCAGCGCCAATCACCATCAACGGGAGGGATTTGATGAAAGAGGTTACTTCATTCACTTATCTAGGGAGCATTGTCTCAACTACAGGCAGGTGGAACGGACGAGGATGTCAAATCGAGAATCGGGAAGGCGAGAAACACATTCATCAACCTGAAACCAATCTGGAAATCTTCGTCACTCAACTCACCATCAACAACAAAATTCAGATTTTCAATACAAACGTCAAGTCAGTCAGTTCTTCTATACGGATGGATCAGAAACTTGGCGGGTCACAAAGAATATTTCCAACAGCCTGTTGCAGACCTTTATCAACAACTGTCTTCGCTCTATGCTGAAGATCAGATGGCCGGAAAGAATCACCAACAAGAAACTATAGGAACAAACAAAACAAGAACCAATCGCTCAACAAATATGCAGGAGAAAGTGGAGGTGGATTGGACACTCGCTGATTAGGCCGCTGGGTGACATCGCGCGTCAGGCCAATGCTCGAGTGGAACCCGAAAGGGAAGTGGCGAGTGGGACGTCAGTGCAAGGGTGACATGGAGGAGATCGTGTGAAGAGGAGTTGAAAGAGTATGGACTAACATGGATGCAAGTGAAAAGTACAGCAGGAGACAGGAGCAAGTGGAGACATGCAGTTGAAGCCCTATGTTCTACTAGGAACCCAAGGGAACAATAATAATCATAATATAGGTAGGATCAAGCTTTAAATTTTTCCCAATGTGATTATCGATTTTATTGATTATCATCACATGTGACCGTATTGATAATGTCTGTATTCAATTTTAATTAAGACTGAATACAAGGTAAGCTAAGAAAGGTGTAGTTTTTCATTCAATATAGGAAACCATAATAGAAACTATAGTCTATTTATTGTTGTTTATCTTGTGTGTGTGTGCGTGCATATATATATATATATATTGAATATAATTCAGAGACAAGAGAAACTAGGGTATATAGATAAAATCTTACTCAAAGCAAAATGCTTCCTAATCAATTGATCTATTCACCATTTGTCTATTACTTTTCCCCTTTTTTTGTTCTTTCCCGTGTTCTCTTCCCAAGTGAACTGCAGCATACTTACTTCATACCTACCCACTTGCCTACCCCCTTACTCACCTGACTACCTACCTCCTACTAACTGAATACTAAAGTGAGGCTTTATTATTTGCCTTTCAGGTTTCCTCTACTTTCCTTCACTTTTCTATCCACTCTGAAGATTATTCATTGCATTTATTGATTTTAAAGCAGACGTAGATAATGTGTCATGTGATATTGTCTGAAAATGGGTGAAAATTATTTTTGTAAAACTAACTAACTCACTGACTACTGATTACCAATCAATGGGAATTAGGAAGAAAGATAAGAATAAAACTTGTGCACTGTGGTAGAGTATAATTCTATTATGTGTAAAATCTATTTTCATAAAGTCACACAGTGTTATACAGTAATATTAACTGGTGACCACACGCTTCGAGCACGATTTATACACTGCTCATGATCATATCAAGGCACTACTCACACAACTTTCTAACTTCTTTTATTTAATTCCATTATTTCCCATCGATTGGCTTGGTTGGTGGTAGTATTTTCCATATTTCCCGTATGAGTGAGGAGTCATTCATATTGCACGTGTTGGGTGTAGATTCAATGACCAAGGATTCAGTAGTCAATCTCTCTCGCTCTCCACCTATCTATATCACTTCTAAGAACTTTAACCGTCTCCCACTCGATTTTGTGATTGTGTGTTAATGCATGCAGTGCAATTGCTGAGTGCTTTCTTCTAAATTACTTATCTTCACGGGGTCAACCATTCTAAGCTTAGCTAAATTCTTATGTTCCGACAATCTGATTACACCCGACCTACTAGTTTGACCTATGTGGTTGATCTAACTCACAGTCATCGCAAGGTATTTTGTAAATTATATTATTTTGTCTAGTTGGGTCCACCGACAGGGTCCTTTAACCTACACAGCTTGTCCTCCCTGAGTGAGTTTGTAGGTTTGAATACCACCCTAATTCCTGCTTTATTGAGAATCCTACTTAGGGAGGGTCTCAGATGTCGCCTCCTTAAATGGTATAACAGTGGATGGCCTATATTCTATCTCATTTATTTTATCATTATTAGTTCCACCATTATTTTTATTTTACTTTCGACCTTTTCTGATATTCCTGATGAATTTCATACGATAGTTAGTTATTTGATACCAAGGCTTCATCTATATGTTTTATTTCATCATTTAGGTCCTTCCTTGTAGTACTTAGTGCTACTGCTGGAAGTTAGAAAGTTGTGTGAGTGAGTGACTTGATATGATTATGAGCAGCAATAAATTCTGCTCGAAACATCATCAGTAAGATAGGCTTTGTTTTCATAAATTTGATTGCCTTGCAATCCGTGCATTAAATTCACCATGGAATATGAACATGACGATGAGTTCAGTTTCCTGGACCTTAATGTAAGAAGAAAAAACGATGATATGGTTAGAAAATCCATCTACAGAAAAGAAATCTGGACCGGACAACACATTCACTACAACAGCTTTCGCCCTATAAGCTATAAGTGGGGATTAGTAAGGACACTCATTGTACGACAGAGCCAGGAAGTTATGTTCGCCTAACAAGGTGGAAGAAGACTTAGTCTCTTTTAAAAAATGCCTAAAGGAAAACGGGTATCCAGAGGGATTTTATCTAGAGCACAACAAAGAGAAGGACAAGAAAGCGAAGTATTTAACAGCTGGAAAGAAGAAAGTGTTCATTGGCCTCCCATTCAAAGGAGAAGCGGTATCACAAAAGATTGAAAAAAGGATGAAAGGAGTAATAAAGAGATTCAGCTGGGCTGCTGACACTATACAGTATTACATGCTCTATAAGCCAATCGAAACTGGATAAGTACCCTGCTGATGTTATCTCTAACTACATTTATAAATTTATATGCACCTGAGGCAGCAAGTACATTAGAAAGAAGGGCTTTTACCCGGTTTTCAGAGCATATCCCAAGAAACTTATGCTTACGAGGAAGCAGATATTTACAAAGTGCAATCACCAGACACCCACCATGTGGATACGGGTCATTTTGTCGAGATTTCCAAATCCTTCAAAATACTAAACATACAAAGGACAGCGGATTTGCTACGATTTGCTGAAGCGATTGCAATCAAGCGTTTCAGACCAAACTCATGCACATTGAAAGAGAGTGTAGTCAATCTCTCACTCCGCTGGTAACGATATTACTTTGATATGTAGACGTACAATCTAACACTATTTGGTTAAAGGATTTCATCATGAGCTGACATCGGTTAGAAAACCATTGGAAAGCCCACCAAGGAGTACTGAACAGCTGTTTCATCAGCCTAGTTTGGGACTCTTCATCAGAACGCACCCACCGCCACAGTTCGAACTCAGGGCTTTCTGGTTACAAGGTGAGCTCGTAGACTATTAAGCAACTGGGACCCGGTCCAATCGCCAAACCATGAATTCTAACTTCTACCAATTTACGACATAGCGCGACCGCTGGTCAATGTCTTCGTTGATAATTTGTCTTCACACCCGACCGTTTATTAGATTTCTCTGTCTACTCTCATACCCCCCATTTTTTCACAGATTGAAAGCATATAAATTGATGGTAACTTAAACTAAAAATAGTAATACTGATAATCTGAATGCGTTCATCTTATAATGTTTTCTCTATTACCTTTCAAACACTGAAGTATGAAATATCATTATTTATAACCATTGTAATTTCAGATAGTGGTTCGCAGTTAGCTGATGAGAACCTGTGAAATAGAATGACGATATCATTTTATACTGCAAATCTGGTCTTTCTTTATCAAGAACTTGTTCTTATCAAGACAATAATTAATAAACTTTTCACAATATATATATATATATATAGTATATCTGAATTGTTTAGAGGGAATTAGTCTGGTTTAAAAAGCGATGGATTCTGGGCTCGAATACTGGACGGATAGCACCATTCATTCACTCACCCACCAGGGATTCGAGGTAGTAAGTACATTTACTGGTTAATGAGTTCCAAGCGGGACGAAGTGCCCATCTGTTGGAGTACACTTTGAGCATTTATTAGGCTTTATTTTGCAGGGAATCATCTTTGACTACAGGTTTTTGATAAGAGCTGACATCAGCTGACATAAAACTACTGGAAAACCAGAGATTACTTGTCAGACGCCTCGTCCATGCTTGGGACTCATCATCAGTATGTACCCACTGGATGTTAACTCCTATGAATAAACTGTAAAAGTACGAACTGAGTGATACCGGATTGTCTTAACTTCCTGGCCTAGTTCACTAGCTCACTGGTTATGGAAACTGCTTCAACTCTATGGGGTGCTGTGCCAAAGTCTTTATCAACCGCATTCAACAGATGGCTGGCTATAGGATAATGCCATATGTCAGGTGATCCACAACCGAAAACTCACCAACGCCTTTGAAGTGTACACAGGGGTAAGACAAGGCTGCCTGCCTATTATCACCGATAATATTCTTAATTGTGATGGACTGGATTATGCGGCAGACTGTGAGTTGAGAGTCAGAAGACAGGAATACGCTGGACCACTGATAAAAAGACTCTAAAAGATCTGGATTTCGCGTGTGGGTTATTTATGTTTAATGTCATACAAACTGGAAGACTTGCAGGCGAAAACCAACAAACACAGCACTTTAGAAATGCGGCAAAAAGAGCATTCAGTGCTGCTGCCGAATTACGCTGCAGAACCACTCCTCTTTTGCGTTCGGGTGTAAAAGACAAACTGCCTAATTTCGCCTCTTCCATGTGTATCTACCAATTTAACTGCTCCTGTGGAGCCAGTCAGTTACACAGGCCGTACAATTAGGCGTGTTTCTCGTCGAATTTTCGAACATCATCCTGTGTGGTTAAGCAAAGGACAAACAAAATCTATTCACAGCGCTATTTTTTAATCTCATCTTGTGGATGCAGAATAGAAGATTGATGTTAACCACGCTTTCAGTGTCATTTACCGCATACTTAAGAATCTCAATTTTGCCTTAAGAGTTTGATTACTAAATATTGCTGAGGCTGGCTGTTGGGATCCATATTAACAAGCCTAATTTATGCATCCAAAAGAAGCTAGTTCAAACATTATCCTTACCTTGGCCATCTAGGTTCGAACGATCCTCAATTTTTGTGCAATTTCCCTAATTTTAGTTGATATTC